TGGGCAAAGCCAGTAGAGGCATGTTGATGTCGTACGCAGAGGCCACGAGAGACCGGACGAGCTGGAAACGGCGAGAGAGGGAGAGCGAGCGAGAAAAAAACAAAACAAAAAAAAACAAAAAAAAAAAAAAACACAGGAACTAAATGTGAGCAAACCCATATCAAACAACATCAAAGAGCGCACTTTTTGGCGACTTACAGCGGCCTGAGAATCTGCAAAGTAGGCAACATAGTCCGAACCCTCTTCGGCTGTGGTCGATTGGGCGCCGCTGGGCAACAAGCTCATAAAGAAGGTGACGGTGCCGGCAACGCGCGCGTCGTCAAAATCGACTCCAGGAACCGACACGACACGCAAATCAGCGAGGTCGTCGTCGTCGTCATCAACAGTCATTGCAGGATCAACAGGCAGCGCGGTTGGCGCATCCGAAGAAGGAGGCTGAACCGCGTCCGGGAACGTATTCTTTGGCAGCAAGTAGGATTTTTGTCGGAGGTAGCGCCCAACAAGTGCATCCACGACCTCGCCGACATTGCGAGACAATAGCACATCAAACAGGCGCAATGTCACAATGCTCAAGTCTTCAGAGATAGCGTCACAGCGGGAAATGAGTTTGTCGCGCAAGGCCGAGTCTTCCTTGAGTGTCACTGGACGGGCTGCGGCGTCGCTGAGCGCCCTTCCCGATGGCAAGGGGTCCGAGAGAGCCGACAGGTCGCCCGGCGGTAGGCCAACCAGGAAGCGGCCAAAGACTGCCGCCAAGCCGGGACGCGACATGTACTCGAGTGTTTTGGCGACAATGGCAGTGTGCGAGATGGCGCCTGGCTCGGAGGCTTGCTGCAGGGCTGGTTGCACCAGAGGCACGAGAAACTGCTGGTACAAGGCAAGCTCCAGCGAGGCACGAACGGCTGGGTGTATGGGGCTCCGCGCAACTTCGTTCAAAAAGCGAAGTTGAATAATAAACGCCAGGACAATGTCCAAAACACCAGCCTGGGGCGATTGCTGCTGCTGGGAGGCGGGTGGTGTGGCACTGGCCTTGTTCCTGCTCGACACGGGGGACGACAAAGGCGACGCAATGGCCGCATTTGAGTTCAGGCTCGGCGAGAGCATTGCCAAGGGTGCGCGATCAAACACATTATAGGGCAGCTCGAGTAGGTGAATGGAGTGCACATGCGCCGACGACAAGGTCTTTGGCAGATAGTCAAACAGAACGACCGCGTCGCGAATCTGCAAGGGAAGAAATGGGTAGTTGTTAGCCATCCGCTGAAATCGCTAGATCGAGTCAAAAAAAAAAAAAAAACCTCTCCAAAAAAAAAAAAAAAAAAAAATGCGCACGTACCAAAATTTGCGACACTTGGCCAACTCCTTCAGCAAACTTGGCCACCGACTCGGAGGGCAGCGACAAGCAATCGACGAGAGCCCCGCGAGCCAGCATTGCAACTGTCGGGTCGTCACTTTGGATCATTTTGACAAGGGAGGAAAAGAGGGCGAAATGCGACGCGACAAACGGTTCAGCGCCGCGTTTCTGTTCGGCGGGGGGGGGGGGAAAGGAAGGAGCCAAGGACAACAACAAGGATCGGGAAGGGGTGAGCTTTCAGAACGACCAAAAAAAAAAAAATGGCGACTGCTGGGAAAATACGCACAGCTCCGGGTTTGGAAGGGGAATTGACTGGGGTCGAGGATGTCGACTGCGTTTCAGCCGCCTCCATAAAGAACTCGACGAGAGATGGAGTGGCAACGAGCAGCTTGCAAAGGGTGGCGAGGAATTCGACAAAGGCAACCTCGAGCGAAGGGTGCGAGCTCATCAATCTGCTGTTTGCCCCAGCCTTGACGAGGGCTTTGACGGGTCGATGGACACCGACTTGATGCAGCAGTGGCTGCTTGAGCCGTTGGAGCAGGCTGGTCATGTTGCGGATGACCACCTCGAGCATGCCTTCGGGCTGTTCGCCTTGACCAAGCTGCACAAGGACGTCCAGAATACGGCGCTGTAGCATGTCTTCCACGCACGGGCCCATTGGTCCGACCTCTGCCTCTTCGCGGCCCAGAATGTCGACCATGCGTTCGAGCTGCTCGTTAATGACCGTGTCCTGCACGCGACCGGCCTCATCTGCGCAATACAATTAAGAGATTGTGTTTGATTGTGAGACATTCATTCTGATGCTGTTGCTTTGTTGATCCACACTTACTTCCGTCATAATAGGCAAGGACGGTCTTCCAGCTGGCGCGAAAGTCCTCGATCGTGTATGTTGTGACATACGAGACCTGAGCAAGCAAAAAGCAAAAAAAGCAAAAAAAAAAAAATTAAGCAAAACAGGTGAACAATGAGTGAGGTACATTTGTATTGCTTGGTTGTATGGTAAAAAGTAAGTGAGTGCAGCGATGAGTGAGAGTGAAGTGCAGCAATG